ACTTGCATGATTTTCTTACAGATACATCCTGTTTGTTTTCTTGATATATTGGCAAGTAGACAGTACACATTTTCAGGTGCAGTTCTACAGGTTATTTCTTTTCACTGATCTCCAAGGTTGTGTCAATTCCATTCACAAGTTTAAGTAAGTGCTTAATCATCATCATCACAAATAATAGTTCAAATCAATGTTTGAAAAACGGGAAGCATAAGAACAAATAATTGCTAGTGGAAAAGTTTCTCTAACACAGAGTAGATTACAATCTGGGGTGTCTGTAAAAAATTTTCGTAGATGTTGCTCACCCTTCAGTGTTCTTGCTGAAAAGAAAATCTGTCTGAACTGGCCCTTTGATTTTCAGCATCAGCAGAGAGATGAAGTTTAAAGGATGTGGAAATCAAATCTAGCCTGGACTATTACAGATTATGTCATATTTCCTCTATAGACAGATTCAGCCTTTAAGAATGTATTTTTGCACCTTTTGAAATCACTTTCTTCTGTAGGTCTTCAGGGTAGGATCAAAACTATGTATGATAAAGCTAATTGCTTTGATAGTGAAGGTTCCATGTATACCCTAACATGCTTTGCCATGGCTGGGAGACAGGATTCCTGTATTATGCTGTGAACAACAAAATGCTTGCAGTCACAGCAAGGTAAAACATTGGTTTACCACACTGCTCCCCTCCTCCTCTTTACTGGGGAAGAAAGGAAGAAGAATGGAGATGACCTTCAGTTATGCTGGAGATAAATGGCAAATAAGAAAAAAAAAAAAGTGAGAAAGGGAATTTTAACATTGCCAAGTAAAAGAAAAGTACACAAGCTCTTTTTTTTTGTTTTTTTTTCCAGACCACGAAGTTCTGGTGGGTGAACTCTTCTGTTACCCTAATTTTTTAGGGTTTTCCATGTATTTTCCATGGAATTTCTACTTTTAGAGGTTCCCTGTATTTCTATTTCCATGGTAGAAATGTAAATTTGGTTTCCCAGTTTCAGAGTCTCCCTTTGGTCCATTGTTTTGACCTTTTGAAAATGTGCCTCCAAGTAATAGGAAACCTCCATCTTTGTGATAGTGGGATCACAAGCTTTGCAGTGAATGTGACTGAGCATACCAAACATATTTGCATGCTGACAGGTGGGGTAGCTGTTCTCCCCTTAGGGCAGGGCTGGTAAATTTTAAGTTGGGAGTGAAAACATGCCCACTGCAGCAGCCAGTAATTAATTACTGCCGGGAAGATCTTCAACAGTAATTTTAGCCAGGGGTGCCATTAAGGCTTTGTGTCAATTGAGGATGCAGATTAAGAGAATCAGCTGAAAAGTCTTTTCTCAGAATCCTAACCAGACTGAACAAAGCCATTGGAGCTCTTTGGAGTTTAAAGTTTTAGCTTGCCAGAGGAATTATTAAGTAGATACTTTAAATGCAACTTTCCTTTTTTGATGTGATGATCACGTTTTTGCATGTGAACTTACACATATGCTGCTGACTCTTCTTTTCTTGATATTTGGTGGAAAAAAACTAGTGGAAAAAAGCTGAATCGTATTCATTTATGTCAATCTATCACCACAAAATGGCTGCACATCATTTGTTTTTCAGAACCCAAAGTTGCTGTCTAAACTTGAAGTCCTTTACATTAAATTTTCAAGTTAATATAACAAAATATTAGAGCACCAAGTTTACATATTTAAACATAAACAGTGGCAACAATTAGAAAGCCCTTATAATTAATTTTATAATTAGATTTTTACATTATTAATATTTATGCAGTCTTTCATATGTTGAATATCTTTTATATGATATTAACTGTGCTGTGTAAAGTGTATGACTCAGTTTTTTGCAAGACACTAATTGAGATCCCTGTCTTCCCCAGGTGATGTGTTACCGTGGGTCAGGTCTGGGCCTCTCAGGTAGCTCAGTCAGGGGCCAGTTTAACAGCAATTTAAGACAAGAGGATGAACTCTGGCAGCGCAGTGGTAGCTCCATCCCTCCCACGTTATTATGATCTTACTGTAAATGTCCAGGTCAATTTTTGATATAACAGTAGGGTTCTTTAATATAACAGTAATTTTCAGGAGGGAAAAAAGTCTCAGTGTCTGGTATTAAAGCAGTTTTCAGTCATGAAGCAATCTGCTTAGTGAAAGGGGAACTTGCATGAGGTGTCCAAATGTTGCAAAAAGTGAGGCTGGGGGACCAGTCTGTGGCTCTTGTAATACACAATAAATATATAAATTTCTTCAACTCTAAGTGTTGAGTTCTATTAAAGCCACTCAGTTCTTCCTAGCTGCATAAAAGAATCTTAGTGAAACTGAATTTTTAACTACATTTTCCTAAAAACCACTGTTCTAACCTACTCTATGTAAGAGCAATATAAAAAATAATTAATAGGAGACTTCTACAGTTCTAAACAATGGCTTTGATAGAATTAAATTGACTTTTTTTTTTTCCAGTTCGTATTTTAATAAAAAAAAATCAATTGTTTTGGTCTTTAATTTGCATGTAAATTTTAGTTTAAAAAGTCTTTCTGATAACATTGGATCAGTCTGATGAAAGTGCCAACTTTTTGGAAGAAGGAAAACCCAAGGTTTTTCTTGCCTACAGTCATCAAAATTCCCTTATTCCATGTGAGGGAATTCAATCCAGGTGTCATCAAATTCGATTATAATAGTTACATTTCCTGCCTCAATTCTCCCCTCTCATTTCAATGAGACAATCTTTTCTTTGCTTTCTGTGTTAGCATGTCTGTGTTATGGGTTCCCTTCCTTCAGGGAGCGGACTGTCACGTAGGGGTGACGCAGGCAGGTCCCTTAAAAAGTGAGTGCCTTGTAATTGCTCTGTAAAACTTCCTCTTTGTCTGGACAGTAGAAAAAAGCAGTGGGGAGGTGAGATCATGCTGCTGTGAGCAGATAGGAGCGTGGGAGTAGAGGCTCCTAAGACATCATTTCACATGATAATATTCAGGATTCATTAGTATGATAGTGTGCAGTATTCCAAATATGACAGCTGACAGGAATACTCTGAAAGGCCTCAACAGCTAATGAAGAGCAGCTAATACACTGACACCTTAAACTGCAGGAGACTGACAGTCAAAACCTACAAGTCTGTTCCAGCAAGTTTTGACTAGTGAACTGTTTGGCTATAGCTGGGGAGGAGATAATAAATCAAATCTAGACAGCTCAATCTTTTCTGTCCCTACCCGAGGGCTTGCCTGCTGAAAGGAAACATCAGTTATGTTACAAAACTGTTCATCCACTATCCTTGGTCAGAACAGAGATCATGGAATATACTAGGTAAAATTAAAGGAGTTTTGTCACATATCCCTATGATGCACTCTGACTGATTGGTGTTTGATATGAGGGTCATATGAGGGTCTTATCAAAGTTCAGGCTTTTTAATTTTTATTGTTTTCTATGAGTAATGAATTTTCAGCTTTGAATTTTCTGACACTAAGTTTAAGGAAAAAAAAAGTGAAACAAATATTCCTGTTAGAAGCAGAGTTTGGCAAACAGCATTTTTGGGGTGTGATGACCTATTAGTTGAGAGATTAACCAGGAAAAATGTAAGATACTCTGAGACATTAGAATATGGTTTTCAACTTTGTTGAAGTGTAGCTGAACATACAGACTGGGTTATGGGGAATTTTGGAAAGCAATCTACATTACACTCAGTTATACTGGCTAATACTCTGAGAAGAATGAGTTTGTTTTTACATGGCAGACTTAATATGGAAGAATCTCAGAAGATCAGGACAAATAAATGAACGTAAAGCTAATTAGCATAACAGAAGGCCTCTGGGTGGTACACACACACAGCTGCTGTGTCAGGGTTAAGGCTTTCTGAACCATCAACAGAGAGGCCACAAGGGCATTTACAAAGTAATTCAGTTCTTACCCATAACAAAGGCCCAAATATCACACTTGATTGCACTAATCTTTTATTCAGAATGATACATAGAAGAGTATTGCAGACTGGGAATCTCTCTGTTCTGCTGTACTTACCAGTGTTTCTGTCTGTTCTGCTGTACTTACCAGTGCTGTCCAGAGAATCTGAAGTCACTTGGAATCCTTTTTCCTATATAACTGAGCTAAAACCTAGAGATTAGCTGAAATGGATGCCTGTCAAGCTGAGAGTGCTGTTACCAATGCGGGGAGCAGCAGTGCCTTCCTGCCTTGTCTGTGATTACTGCACCATCCCCTGTTTGGATACCCAGAGGGATTATCCTCCTGGAAATAGCTCTGTCCTTCAGCTGCTGAGGGTTTTACTATTCTTTGTAAGAAAAGAGGTGAGTAAGAGGGGAAGAGGTATCAATAATTAGGGTGCAGTTCTGGTTTAGGAAGCTCAGAGTGAAGTTAGATCTGAGTGACCCCTGAATTGGTACCTGGATATATGCAGATTTTCTTGTTTCCTCTCCTAGTCAGATAAGGGGAATTTGTATTAATTCCTTCTTTAATTTCACTGAGGTTAAAGGAAACTTTAGTTGCAAATTCTCATGTAAAACATATCCTCCCATAGGGCTGTATGCTCCGAATTGCAGTGGAAATACCATACACTAACATGTTTATAGTGGCAGGGTTTTTACAGTAGCAAGAGGTTTAGAAAGTCTAAGGGTTGCTTTCTGTGACATTGTGGTTTCATGACATGTTTGACATACAAAAACAAAGTAAGAGTTTTGCTAGGCTCATTGTGAGAGCTGTGGGTCTGAAGCAGCTGGTATATTTATGTCCCACTCTTTAGCTTCCCAGTCCAAAAAAAGGTGGAGTTTTGTTTGTTTGTACATTCCAAACATGTAAACAAAAGCCAAGAATTTGAAAGGTTCCATAAAATAGAAGAGTTACTGTCAACTACAGGCAAGATCAATGACTGCTTTTGATTTTCTGTATCTTGATGCTTCAATGACATCTTTAGAAGAAGCCTAAAGATTAGGAACCAAAAAGATATGTTACTTTCATTGAAAGGTTATCCATATGAAGCCTTCATTTTATCTTTTTTTTTTATGGCTTATTTTTTATTTCAGTGTCTAAATGTGACAGAAGTTCTCCAAGACTGACCCTGAAATGTACCTGGCTCCTTCACAGAAGAGAGGAGGGAAAAATAATCAGATGTTTTCACCACAAAATGGAGAAGTTATCTTTAACTTTCCTCAAAAAATGTTATTCTTATTTGACAACATATCAAGTCATTTGAGCCTGCTGGATATAATCAGATTTATTGTTACCCTTGACCTCTGAGAGCTCCTAAAAATTATCTTGAGCAGTGTTACATACGAACTAAAACCAGAAATACTGGGTAAACCAGTTATGCTGATCCAAATGAGCCACATGATGAATCCTGGCAATGTCCTACCTCACAAGACAGCAGAACCAATTGTACATATGAAGATTTTTTTTTTCACCATCCTGTAAGTACAAGTTGCAGCTTCATTCCTAATCCAGAATATTATACTCATTAATTACGGTTCTGTTATATTATGGAAGAAAAATATTTCAGGAAAACACATGCATATTAATTTCTCTTTGAATTAAATTTTAAGTGACTGGAACTCTTCAGAGATTATTGCATACAATCATTCTTACAGATTTTACTAATAAAAAAATTATAGAATAGTGTAGGTCGGGAGGGACCTCTGGAGGTCTCTACAATCAAGCTACACAGAGCGTGTCCAGTAAAGTTATGAATGTCTCCAATTTACCTGGGACCATGTTTGGACATTTTACCAACTCATACTGAAACATGCATCTCCTAATATGTCATCAAAATGTCCTTTTCTGCAGCCTGTGCTTCTGTCCTTCTCATCTTCCAAGATGAGTCTGATTCTGTCTTCTCTATACTTTCTACCCTTTACAGTTTAATTTATCAATATCCTCATAGTTTAAAATAAGGAAGCACAGAGGTCGGTGTTACAGGCTGATTATCTTTCTATTGTCTTCATCCTTGTTCATGGGCCAGCATGTGATCCAGAGTGCCTCAAACAGCTCTGGGCAAGGTGTGAGCAGCACAGGCAGTGAGAGCCCAGGGAGCTCCCCCGGGACACCACTAGAGGCTGCTCAGTAAACACAGCCCCACAGCTTCGGCCCCTGAGGAGGGTGGGTGCGATCATGTGGAGACTGAAGAACAGCATTAAGAGAGCAGTTACCGAAAAGGCAGTATGTTCTTCCTGGATGGGATATGGAGAGGTACAAGAATGGAAGTTGTTAAAAAAAAAGAAAAAAAAAAAAAAAAAGTGGAGGTTTTCTTTTCTGATTTCTAGGTCATTTTATTTGCTCATTAAAACCATTAACAGTTGAAGGCAGGATCTTGCTGACTGATGCTATTTCTATTACACATAGGCCATTCTGCTCAGTGAAAGTGAGGGGTGAAAATAAGTTATGCACATGAATAATTTAGAACTCCACCTAAAATATCAAGGGATTTCCCTTCTGAATAACTTATTGGGAGAAAAAAATATATGTGTATAAATACTTACATAATTTACATTTTAAAATATATCTGTGTGTATATAAATACATATGCATGTCGTTGAGGAAAGGTTTCATAACAAATCTGTCCTTTCGTTTCCATAGTACACTGGAGTTTCTTGTTTAGTTCAGATGAGAAAGAGAAACTTTCTGTTCACTGGAACTACCGTCTCTTCAATAGCTTGACCAACAGAATACTTCCTTTTGATCTTTAGTAAGCTCATACAAGAAATCACTGTAGGTATTGTACTAAACCCTGAACCCCTAACCTTCAAAGCATCATCTAGGACCTGCCCAAAGGAGAACAAAACCCATATAGATGTCATGGGTCCTGAAAATCAGAATACACTACATCATAGAAATTAATTGCATGTACCAGGATCTAGAGACAGATTCAAAGGAAGGAGAGGTAAGACAGTACCATGGGCAAATGTGGGCTCTAGAATGACCTCCCAAAATGGAGCTCATCTGAGTCCTGACTCATTCATTAGTAAATTTAGTATTGTGGAGCTGAAGGATCAGTAGTCAGAAGGTTACTAGTAGCTCAGTGCTGATTCATCTGCGGTGTTAAATGTTGCATTAGTTAAGCAACAACAATTGAGAAATAGCTGTTTCCCAGAGATTAAGAGGTGATGGGGAAGACTCGATGGCCTGAGGCTGCTTTTGTTCTTAAAAGGTGGGGACAAGGAGGAAAAAAGTGCATGGTATTATTCATGAGTAAAGCTGGTTAAATAGGGACAGGATGTTTTTAAAAGGTCTATTCCACCATGAGTCCTTTCTTAAAAACCTGAATAATTTTGTAGCAAACTAAAATTATACTTAAAAAAAGGCAACTGTTCAAAGTGTATGTCTGTGCATAGATGTGTGTTCAGACCTATCTGAGGACAACACTCAAAACACATATGCTTGTGCATATGATATATTGAAAAGATCTGTCCTTCATACCATCATATCTTGTGTTATTCTGGGAAAGAAGTGCTGACATTCTTGTTCAAGATCAATTTCTTTCTCAGGCATTGATGGTATAAAAAAATTTAGGATAGTGCTGTACTATTCTTTTTCTTCAGCTCTTTCCTTCATCTGTGCTCTAGCTACCACTCTCAAAAGATCTGAAAAATGTAAAATTCCAGAAGTAATTTGAAAGACCCTTAGGCTGAAAGAGTTGCTGTGGGTATTTCAAAATCCTATTAAGTAGCTATGAGTGCATGACCCATTAACTAATGAAGAATTTGGCTGCTTACTGTTTATTCTTGCTTTATTGTTTTGTCTCCTTCTGTACATGCATCTGAAGTAAATTACTGTTGCATCTTTAAATCAATATGGTCTATACTAAACTGATTAGGATGTAGGCCATAACACTTTAGTTAAGGAATTTCTTTAAGGAAGTCTGTCCTGACTTTGCTCTCATCCTAAATTATTTGTTTGAAGGACCCTATAAGGACATGGCATTGTGTTCGTTCCCCTTCACGGCAGTGTTTGCTAAAGCAGTTTAGAGTTAAAATGGCATTTCTGGCCCCAACCCTCAAAATGAAAAAAGTTGTGAAAAATGCAACTTTATTTAGCTAAAGGAAAGTTGGGGAGTCAAGGCTTCTGAAAATTCCCTGAAAATTTTACTTGCCAAAACAAGTTCTATACTCCTGGTTACAAAGACAAGACCAGCTTTTTACAGTGTGTGAGTAATGAGAAAGGGGTTGCATGATGGCTTTGGCCAGTCTTAGGCTTTGCTGAAAAGAGACTCTCACTCCTGACTGTAAACCCATCTATTTACATAGGCTCTGGCAGGAACAGACTCGGTAGAATTAAGTCAGCCTGGCTGCTGATTAAAACGTGTTTTACTGGTGGATTAGCAAATTGCATTGGCTGAGCTGAAGTCTGACCACAACTATGGCAGGTACAAAGAGGTGGAGTACATGAAGCTGGGAAAAAGAAGTGTGGAGAAACAAGAAGGACCTCCCATTCCTGTCAAACCAGCTGAGCTGCAGTATTTAACTTGAAAAACTACGTTTGGAAATTTTGCCTGAAAAAGCGTGTGTCAAATTTAAGACTTTTCCAAACAGAGTTTAAGTTCACAATTCAATTCAGATGGTCATGTGAGCCTGTTGTTTGATAACTGTCCAAACCATTAAAGTTTTGGACTTGAGTACCATCTTACTATTAAGGTTTTAAAATTTTCTCTTGGTACTACAATGCAATGAAATAAAATACAGAGAGACTTTAATACCCCCAGCCAGTTTTGCAGTAATCTCATCACAACCACTAAAATAAAAAGTAGCAGAGCAGTGTATCAGTTTACTATGAATTTAGCAGTTTCATAAACTCTAGTCCAGCATTCTCTTAGCAATGCTGCTGAGACTGTTGAATATGCTGTCACATATGACCTGCTGGTCTATACCAGGTCTGGAAATGTTTTTCTTACCCTAAAGCTGAATAGATCTTTGAAATGCTTTTGCCAGACCAACTTTTAGAACATAATTCTGTGTTAACTAGTTACAATTCAAACGAAATATGAAAAATTGTTATGTGTAGGCCACAGGAGAGCTGAGTTGTGAATTGTGTTTTCCTTCTGGATCACAGCTTGACTACTGTGACTCTTGCCTCAGAAAGACAAACTGTACAGTGGTGCAACTGCAAGAGGAGTGTGTTTGTCCTCTTACCTTGGGTGTATCGTGCAGTCACTGCCCAAGAATATTTACAATGGTGACCTAATTCTGTGTGGGCTGCAAAGAAAAATGCCCATTTAAAAAGGGAAAGGGAAAGAAAATCCATGGGCTCTTTGAGGCTTCTATCTGTCACCTCTATATTATGAAAGTCTTGTATCAGATTCCCACATGTCATTATTATGTATATATAAACATACATATTTTATATTTAAAATTGGATGTGTTTATTATCCTGTGGTTTTCTTTATAGTGCAAAAGAAGTGTGAGACTTACTACTGTTTGAACATGCCTACTGTACATTTTAGATACAGCTACTTGTTTTGATATTCTACTCCAGGGTAAAAAATTCAAATTGGCCCAAAGAACATACAGATCTGGGGAAAAGGGAAAAGTCTAATCATTGAGTAACATTTGGTTGTCCTCTTCCCAAGACATTAAGGAGAATTATGAGAATTAAGCTGAAGAAAGCAAAGAGAAAGAGAAGGCAAAGGATGTTGTGCAACTGTGAGCAAGATTTCTTTCATAGCAAACAAAAGCAAGAATCCTTCCACATGAAGTTAGTCATATAAGACTGACTTTGTAAATCTGAATGGTGTTTGATCAGCGCAGTGGTCCAACCATAAAAGTAGTTGAGGTGCAGCTTAATGTTACTTCTACTGTTTCCTGAACAACATACAAGTTAGGATTATTTTTGGAATGAGTAAACAGGAGAAAAGTCATTATGGGATGTTGGTTGAGTCGATAGCACTCAGCATTTGATTGGAAGGTAAGATAATGACTGCAGAGCACTGCTATGGGTTGCCATGTCATCTTCCAGTGCGTCTCATATAAGAGATTCCTAGTTACGTGGCCCAACAAATGCAGCTTTCTAGAGCATCCTGCACTGCATACCTAAGCCAGTGCGTGACCTTGCAGAGATTAAATGATGACTCTGGTCCATTAATATAATTCTACCCTCTAGCTATGGGCAAAAGACACAGTTTTGAAATGTTCAAAATGAAAATGAAGGCAAATATTACAAATGTCCTTGAAATCTGCAATCACTGCATAGCTTACCGTGGTGGAATCAAATGCATCTGAATAGTGCAAAGGAGTTGGATACATGAAATATGACACTATCAATGCATTCTTTATTCAGAATGGATCCAGAGTCCAGGAAGTACAATATAGCTAATTGATATAAAAATAATGGCAATAAAGCACTTGCTTTAACTTTTAACAGGAATTCATCCATGTTCTATTCAGGATTAGTAAATGAGTTTTTACAAGGCCCACTGAAGTCTTTTATTTGCTGATTTTTATTGAGTTTGATTAGCAGAAAGCAGTGGTTGAATTTGAATACAGGAAGTTAAGTGTGATGGATGTTGCACTCACAACTGACATCTGTCATGTCCCAATGAAACTTCTTGAGAAACTGTGCAAATGCTAAGAAATACAAGACCTTTTGCAGGAGTGTGGTTTGCATCACATTTGGAATCTTTGCATGCCCTAAGAGAAATTCAGTCATGATCTGGCCTCGGTCTTAAATCAGTTGTAGCATATTGTCATCCCCTTCCAAAGGCTCTGTTGAGAAGATGTCTTTTGAATTGTGGCTAAAATACAAATTCATGCTATTCTTAAGTGTGAGCAGATATCCTGAGTTTCTGAATCCTCACAGAGAGTTCTGCCAGCCATGCCTTTTATTGTATCAAGGATATCAGACTGAGACACACAGACTGCAGCTGTGGCCATATGGTGGCATGTGTAGAATGGAGGAAGGGGTAATGGGGAAAAATTCCTTCCACAGAGGAGGGAGTAATGAGGGAAAAAAAGAGAAGCAACTATACACCCCTCCTATGCAGTACTTGTTCTTCATAACAAACATTTGAAAAAAAATGGCTTTAAGTCAAGCAGTTCAGAAGCAGTTCTTGCTGTTCTGACATGAACTTCATTTTATTAGGTTTTGAAGGTGTAGCCTTATGGAGAGTACATGGCAATAGCATTATCCACATGGAAAGCAATTATTAAGAGCTACACAATGAGCAAGTTGCATAGGTATAGTAACTTCAGGGTGAAGCTGCTTAAACATGAAGGCGCTGCTGGGAGGGGTGGAGGAAAGGCATCATAAAGAATCATTTCTGTGGAAGGAGCATGTCTCTCCTAGGCAGTCATGCCCCAAAAAGTTTGTATGTACTGCTGGTAGAAAAGTGAGCGAGTCACATTCAAATCAAATGGGAAATTAAGCGTGCCATGGCCTTATAGCAGATATGAATTCACACTATTTAGGCAGTTTTTCTTTTAAGTGTCCTTTCCTGTTGCTGGGGGCAGGGGGAGACAGTAATAAGTGTTGTGAATTATGTGTGAAATATGAAATATGTATTTGATTTATACTTGTAATATTAGTGTGGGAAACTTGAGATCCCTACAGACATTTGATCATTCTGTGTTGCTACATACTCAGAGAATATTTTGCATTTTCAGGTACTTGAGAGAAAGCATAAAAAAAAAGAAACTAAAGGAAGATTAAGGAAGTCAGAGATGCTAAAAGGATACAGATCAAGTATCTCCCTTTGGCCCAAACTTTAAAACTCCAAGGGTACAGAAAGGTGAGGAATGAAAAAGAATTTATAACAAAGGAGTTATATATATGTGCATGTAGATACACATGCATATTTGTCTATAATATGGGATTGTGTCTTTTGATGAGCTTACTATTCAAATATTACCTTGTTTTAAATAAAATGTATTTTTATCTAGGGAATGGATTCAGAAACAACCTTTATATTTTGACTCTTTGAAGTCTGATGTCAAATTCATTGAAGCAGTTCAAGCAGTAAGTGTCTTTATCCTCTAAAGAGCTAAAGAAATTAGGCAAATAGATCCTTGACCTCTGATTTTCCTTGATGTGTAAACAATGGTCTTGAAATTACTGTTTTGTCTCACTTAAGGACAGTGGATCAAATAAACTCCTCAATGCATCATCCCCATACTAATCTTTCTTGATACATTACAATATCTTGATACACACATTTTCTTGTTTCATAGTAAAAATGAAGGTAGCAACCATGGCTTTATGAGTTTAGGAGCATTCCAATATGCATCCTTTATTTCAGTATTCCTAAGGCCTTGAACAAATCATCATGCCCAATGCCAAGCCAAGTTCCCTGTTAAAATGCAGTTCATGTTTTTTTGTCATCTAGCCTTTACTGTATTGGGGAAAGGCAAACAAAGACTGAAAAGCACATATTACATTAAATAGCAGTACTTGACAATGAATATATGTTGCCCAAGAACTAGAAACTGTGGACCTGACTTGCAGAACTGTTGGCTTAATTATCCCTTTTCCTGAAAGGAACTTAACACTTCATGTCAGTTGTCATATACAATTTTTTTTTTCAGCTGAGACTGTGTATCCTGCCTGCTTAATCCACATATGCCCATCCCTTAGGATTTTTTAAAGAAAGGGATGTTTTCTCTTCTACAGGAGAGAAAAAACATGTCTATCTTATGGAGCTTACTGTCCACACAGCAGTGAAGGAGTTACTGCATGACTGTGAGTGAGTGTATGTAGTGGGTTTGTAAATCCCTCTGAGCCTAGTCTTGGGAAAGGCAAGTAGAAGGGTATTGCTTCATGAGAAATCTTTGCAGAGCTGTGGAATACATTCCTCCACCCCAGTTGCCCAGGCTGTTTGTATACTGGGGCTTTGGTTACTGCTCCAGATGAACTGTGCAAACTAATGAAACCAGGTGGTATTTTACACCCACTAGTTTTGTTTCATCATGTATATTCTCACATATGCTCATAAATGCCCCCCAGTAATATACTGTCACTATTATGGAGCCTGCAATGAAGAGGCATCCTCAGTGGTATTTTCTGTCTCCTGTACTCCTTTTAGGCCTGTGCAACCAAGTTGGAATTCTTGACATGTATCCCTTCCCACTGCCTTTGAGTCCACATCATTCTAATGTGCACTGCAAGACTCTTTCTTGGAAAAGCAAAAGTAACAGTAAAATAACTGACTCCAAATTTTTAATTTTCTATAGTTACCTGTAAATATTTTCCTCTTCATAGAAATTCTGAAGGAAACTTACACTAAAATGCTATTTATTTTCTGTCTTGTCTTTTAATTGCTGTGATTACAAAACGCTTTCATGCCCATGAGCTGGAGGATTCTGAATAAGTTCCAACAGAAGATGATTACTCACTCCTACTCCACCTCACTGCTGTACCAGTAACCATATCTTATTAATCATCCTTACTGTCCACTCAAGCCTTCGAAGCTACTGTCGTTTGTAACATGTCACAAAACCTGTAAGAAATACTTGGTGGTAACCTGAAGTCCCATTTGCAGTATGCAGTGATGATAAAAGAAAAGATAGTTTTATATCCTGAATCAGAGAGAAGAATAAAAGGGGAAATCTGTGAAACTATGGGAATGATGGTCCCTGATAATAATGTTAGGTGTGCATTAGGCATTTTTAGGCAGCTGAAGTTTCAGCAATGAGTTTTGTGCTTTGTGGGTTTTTACAGTACTGAATGTGTGTTGTTTAAAAATTGTTTAAGTATACTGTAGTAAAAAAACCCAAGCAACAAACACAGCTTCCTGAGATTTATGTAAATACTGATCATTGGGACTGAGAAATCTTTTTATATAGTAATTTAAATTACAGATGAAGCAGAAAAAGGAGGGTACAAGTGATCTAACAATTATACCATGATGCTGCCTCAGAGCACTAGAGGGTTGTTTACATATTTTACAAATAAGGAAACCTTATCCTCTCGGCTGGAGCTACCAGTCAGCCTACAGCAAATATATCAGCCCAGAGGGATTTGAGAGGAACCCACATTTCATTTTCTTCTAGTCACAAAGCAGTCACGAGTGGAAGCGCTGGATCTAAAGGGATGAAAGGATAGAAAACGTATTATCAGCGTCCTAAGCATGGAACACCTTTGAAAAATGCATCTCACAGTAAACACTTCCCCAAGACCTTGTGTGAACTATTTAACAAGAGCACAAAGACAGGTGACGTGCACTGGCTTTGCCAGCCAGCCAGCCAAGATTTTAAGATGTCGATGTTTATTTTTTTTAACCTCCAATTATCTCTCTGGAGTGTAGGGGACTGCTTTTAAGGCTACACTGAGCAGGAAGTGCTAAGTGTATTCGTAAAGGTGTGGCTTAGCTCCCTAGCAATTCCCTGGTAGCAGGGGCGTAGTAAACTAGCCTTAAGTAAAACAAACAGGCTTTGTGGAAATCAAAAGCTGAGAATGCAAGCTGTTCACATCTCTTTGATAAAAACAGCTGCTAATCTTTGATTGAAGGTGGTGGGCTCCACCTTGTTCCCCTAAACCAAACAGGTTCACAAGGATTGGATTTATAAGTCTCAAGCTTTTGATACTAATGCGAAATATAAAATATTTTTAAGGTAATTTTTGTAGGATGTGTTGTGAGAAAAAGAGAAATTTTCACATTAACGTATCACAAATGTAATGTTAAAGAAGAAAAAAAGCCCTGTATAATTTCTTAAAAATTATATTACCCTGCACAGAATGGCTCATCTTACACTGAGAGATACAGAGCAGAACCCATAATCCTGAATAAAATCTCCACCCTTTATTAGTGAGTCTTTTTGCCTTGTCTTCCCCAAGGGAAGTTATGTGTTCTTACCAGAAGTTGACCAGGAAAAGTTCTACTCTTGCACAAGGCAAAGCAGATTGCTGGTACTTTGATCTAACTAGAAAGAATTTAATTTATAGACAGTATTCCCTTCTCCAGCAATCTGCATGGCAAAAGGCTACTATAGATGTACTCTGTGACAGGGATTCCTGCATAGATAGATGGTAATATGGTGTTTTTAAGAGACAGAAAGACCTGATCTCACATCTCACATTTTTTTGTCTGCACAAAGTAGGTGCAAAACGCCACCCATCGTGACTCATCAGTGATCGCAGCCTGTAACTGCCCCGAGGAAAGCCTGGTGTGCCCTGAAGCCACGGATTCACGGTACTGTGAGGCACAAGTGCCTCTCTCGTTGGGCCTTGGGTCACTGTCTTGCTTTTGCCAGGACAACTCTTTGTGGAACCAACGACTGAACCAAGTGAGGGAATGAGTCCACTTTAAGGAATACTTCAAAATATCAAATATTTCAGAGCTGATTCGGAGTGGAACGCCACAAACAGTAGTGCTGAAGAATCAGAGGGTCCAATAAGCCAAAGGTGTGATGAGAATGAGTAGCTGAAGTTGGATGAACAAGGAATGCCTAAAATTTATATTTATGTCAAACAGATTTCATTATGAAACCTACAGCTTTAGAACACACTTTGTCGTATGTGGCAGCCTCAACCAACTTCTAACTATTCCCATTTCCTCAGTGGGGATATGTTTGCTTATAGTGGATACTAAGATTTTATTTATCTGAAAAATAACGAAGGAGTAGACTAGACTCCTCAGACTCACACAAAGCAAAACACTGGAGTATGGAAAGGAGGAGTTAAAGTTATGTCCTAGACAGCTACTTCACCCAGAGCTTTATCAGTACATTCACTTTAGTCACTGGTCCATTGACTTTAGTCACTGGTTGACACTCCCAGAATGTGCCAGGTGACTTTCTCTTGTGTCTGCCCCAGGGCTCTTTTCTTTTCCTCACCACCACATCTTTGAACTAGAAAAGGCAAAATCTTATGTTAACTGTGTCACAGGGTGGTTGAAATAATTACTTGAGGAAAACAAGGAATGACTGAACACAAGGTGACATTTCCTGTCAGACAAGGGTGTGCCACATGAGCAGAGGGTTGTGGAAAGGAGGTGAGGTAGTACTGACACTTATGAAACAGCTCTGTCATGGGATATTATCACCACTCCAACTTACTAGGAAGGGAATTGCACCTGCTTGCCATGTGCTTAGTAATTATCTCTGTTTATAAAGCAATTCTGCAGCTATGAAGTGATAAATGCACTGAAGTGAATCATATGGCATCTTAAATTTAAAATTTCTACAGTATGCCAAAGGGAATAATCTACCTGTCTTCATTTTGTCTGAATATAGTTACTGAGTGTGCAATATGTTTCTTTGATAATGTTTCTTCTCAAGAACCCCTATCACTCTCTTGTATCAGGCAGGTGTATCTGTAAGGACACTACTTCTATCTTACTGTAAACTCCACAGCATACAAGATCGAACATCAGGCCAAAGGAAGAAAGATCTTTGTTCAGTCATGCTCAGAGGTTAAAGTGAAGAAAGGATTTGTTGAATGGAACAAGGGAATATATTTGGGAATATATTTGAGGGAGAACCTGGTGATTCTACTGATGTGACTGTAACTGTATAATACAGTTCAGTATAAACTAGAGTCTTGTATGCAAGCAATTACATGTAGAGGTGCTCTAGAAAAAAAATGAGATATCTTTGCAAAAACTGTAGTTGTCTTGTCAAGCTACAAATGGCAGAGTAGAAAATAAACGTACCTAATCTTCCTAGAAATTGGCATAATAGTTCTACTAGAGTCCAGTAGTAACAAGTCAGACAAGACTTTTGAAAGACCACGTACTTTCAAGAAAAAGACAGTGAAAAGAGAAATGAAAAAAAAAGAAAAAAAAAGGCAGTATCAGAGGCCTGCTTCTTTGAGGAGATGATTCCATCCTTTTGATGGGACAGAATAGGACACAGAGTGTGTTTGACATTCCCCTGTCAGATCCCAGGGATGTAGCAGTTGGTGGTAGAAGTGAAGTGGAGCAAAACAAACATAATCAAGGTGGGAGATCAGGAAATCATTGAGTGATAGCTCCTGTCATGTCTATTTTGGATGCACATAATTACATTCATCAATTTATTATACAATGCTCTGATGAAATGTTTTTAAACATAAGTACTTCAACAGATGTTTAAGTTTTGCTTAAATTTTGCATTTATATTTTACTTCTGTTTATACTGTGGTGAGAAAAAGATGTGTCTCAGCATATCTGTATGTAGAATAAGTTTAATTTAATTCTAATGAAGAAACAGGTTAAATGTCAGAGCAGCTAAATCAAATGGGAATGAAATATCATAGGAACACACCCTCCTTTTTTATCAAGGTTTTTGTGTCAGCTGAGAGCTTGTGGCAAAATCTGAATAAACAGTCAGGGATTTGTAATTTCTGCCAAGATAATGTCATGAGGCCAATTATCAGTAAAGTTTGAGAAAATGTAATGTGCATAAATTCATCATTAATTGTGTAACTTGTGTAGTTGTTTTCCATGGAGTAATTTGGACTTCCAGTATACAGTCCTTTCTATTTACTTGCTGATCCATTCTTTCATCATTGCTGTATTGCAGCATTGATTATCAGCTCTCAGTAAGTGAGAGTAGTGTAGAGCATGCAGATCTTTTGATGTAGATAATGGCACTTAGGTTTCTTATGTTATCTAACTATTTTTATGTTCCCATGCAAGGTGACTGGATCTGGATATCCAGTGTTCCAGGTGGCTGTAGCTGTCTCACTTTAAAACATCAGTGATTTTTTGTTTCAATGAACTTGTGAGAACTTTCTAGCTGTACAGTGTGAGTGCATTTCAGTGGAATATGGTGGCCTGAATATCATCCATCCATTGAAGGAGTAGTATGGAGTAATGCAGAAATTCTTTTCTAAACAGTTAAAGGACTACTGAGTTACCTGTCCTGCTGCTCGTATGACTGGAAGTCTCTGAGTTGATCTGTTAAATGTCAAGTATAAAATGGCCCAAATTACATGCTTCATGAAGACATCAGGTCATTCTCATTTTTCATTTTGATGAGTTAACCTCGTGGTCTTTTCACAAGAGGATATATTTTTATCCTGTTGAACTTTAAACATGTAAAGTAATTTTAAATTTTATTGCTTACAAAGAAGATGATTCTACTTAATTGTATGTAAATGCTAGTGAATAATAGACAGCATCTTGGCTTTTAGCTGTTGCAGTAGAGGGTGTTACCAGTTTATGTGTTTACTCTTTTCACTAGGGTGATAGTGATGATGGCAAGGGTAGTGGTAGTGGAGCTTTCTTCCTTTATAGCTTATGCAACAAACAACTCACTAGGTTGGTCTTATCATTAAAAAGCAAATTTGTTACTGTTGGTTATGTTGCTGCACTGACAGACTTGTAAAATGCTGTATCCTTTCAATGGACAAAGAGAGGATGTGTCAGTAATAGAATTGCTTTGATCTAAAGCTGAATATCATTTTACCTAAAAACCTGCCACAAAACCAGTATTTTCCATTGAACTTCCATTTTCATATTATACCTGAAACAAGTAAAAAAAGTAACAAATTGCAATGAAAATTTATTTAGACAGATTTTAGGGACAATAAATCTTCACACAAAGTCAATTTTTAATCATAGGTAAGGTAGACTGAAAGGGTCAGGAAGCACTTACATATTCATCTCATTAGGTAACAGAAATTGTATCACATAGCTTGTCTAATTTAAGATCCTGTCTCAACCAGTTGCAGTGAATTATTTAAAAATTTAACAATGAGATCAGATTGGCAACTGGGAGAAGGTTTCTCACCAGCAGTGTAGTGCAGCACTGGAACAGGTCATCCATGGAGGTTTTCAAGACACAGCTAAACCAAATCCTGGCTGGGTCAATCTAGTGCTGGCAATAGCCCAGCTGTGGGCACAGTGTTGGACAAGGGGACTTGCAGAGGGCCTCATCAGGAATCATTTCAATTATTCTAATTCCAGAAAACTGTCCAGTAACTTTTTTGAAGGACAGCGTTATTTCCAATCAGAAATCAGTGGAAATTCACTGTGTATTTGTTAGAAACTGTTAGCTTTAATGTAAATATATAGTAATATTTGTAAAAGACGCTACTCTGCATGCATGTTTAGTCTGTCCATATACCTGGTAGAAAAGTAAATGCATAGATTTTGAAAAGCCTGATATCTGTAATCTAGAGAAATTGGCTGAACAGCACACACCTGTATCCAATGGGAGTTGTATAAAACCTTTGTAGGATTAAAGCACTGGATCATCCCATAAAGGAGAGAGGCTATGTAAAGTAATAGGGGAAGTAATTCTATTTTTATTTGTCTAGTCACAAATTTTATGTTTTAATTTACCTTTAAGTCAATAGCAATTAAATTCCAACTGATACAGGAGTCTAAGTCAGTGCTTTCTGTAGGGCTTGATGGTGTTAATATCTGCAAGGTAACAATCCATCAGAACCACCTTTCTGAAGCTCTTTTGCATATTGCCAAGCTTCTGTGGATATCTTGATGGAAATTATTTCAAGGCTTCTACGTTGCATTGTGATGATGTCGGACCAAAAAAATCAGATCTCTCCAAATATCTGAACAGCAAAGAACACGGTTAAGCAGTTTCTCCCATGCCTTTTCCCACTCACTTGCTCTTGAAGACAATATGCCAGAAAATTCCTTACGTATGGGTTTATGTTTCAGGAGTTACAGTAAGCTCCTCCTTCAGAAAATATTGCTGCAGTTGCCTGTAATTCAACCTAGGAGCCAAGGACCGAGTTGATAAGTCTAAATGTCTTCTCACATTTGCTTACAGATCTCTCACAGATCTTTTGCTTCCTATGCCAGTTCACTTTGGAGATGCTGAGGCACGCAGAGAGTTTACTACTACCCCTATTGTGCAGATAAACACCAAGGCCCCATACTTACCAATTTAGTATCTCTGTTTTTCAGAACCCCCCAAAAAATTCATCTAGAAGAGAGCTCTGGGTGTCTTTTGGTCCAAACTCTCAGCCCTGCCGGCACAGCTAATTTTGAATTCAGAGCCAATTTCAAAGTTAATTCACTTTTCTCAGGGTATTTCAAACCATTTACAGGGTTAAACATCAATCAAATTTTTTTCCTTTTAATTGATGAGTAAAATATTCATGAGGACAAGTAACTTCTCAATATCATACAAGTTTGGAATAGAAGATTGACTTCTAGCTTCCCTGAAAGGTAGTTGAAGTACTTCTGTAGATCTGAATGCAGCTAGGATATTACTCCAGATCCCATGTCTCCAAGTTTCATATTCAGCTTTAACAAAAGGACTTCAGTGATTGGGACATTCAGTCCACAGGAATTTTTAATAATAATGTAGTAAAGATAAAAGAGGTGGTGGTCTTTTCCCTCCCCTGCCCTCCTCTCCTCACCTCATGAAGCAGTGTAATGTGTATACCAAGAATGAAAATGCAACTACAGATTTATCCATTGCACTCACAATGCATGTAATGAGTTTGCTCAGTGTTCTCATGTGATCTATTTTCTAGTTTTAGTTGCTTGATTAATAAGAAACAAAATATCTACAGTACTGAGCTTGCATAACAATGAATGCCCATCTTTAAAACTTTTATTCTCCACTCAGTTACATTTATGAGACGTTATCTTTGTATGAAGCCTACAAACAAGTACCTTTACAATAGCCAGGATTAAAGCTAAAGGTGAGCAATAACTCTTTATTTCAGCAGGATCTTGGTTACAAATTAACTTTGCTGTGCTCACTGTACAAGGGCTTGTCCCACATGCTTTTCAAGAAGTGGATCCTGTTGCTCTTCTGTGGAGGCAGGAGATGTTATTCCTTCATATTTTTTAATATCATTGCAGAGACCTGTATAATCAGGGCAGAGAGATGGAGGGTTGTGCATGGAAGCTGAATGAGAAACCCTAATCTGATATTTTAAACTGTTTGATATCTCAGGAAAGCTGATATTTATTTAAATTTTTCTTTTAAACATTTTAGAATATGTTTGAAGTTAATTTACCTGGAATAGTTTAGATAAATTAATAACAGTAAAATTACATGAATAGAGATAGTAGAAACCAGATGGGTTTTTTAGGAAGAGGGACTACATTTTATGAGATGAGCTAATATAATTGTGAAAAGCATAGAAGCTTTTGGGCTCACTAGCCTTGATACCGTGCATAAATTTCAAATAAGATTTCAAGGGTTTTTGATGCTGATCTGAGGAGGACTTCTTTAATCTTCCATGCTGCTCTAAGTGAATTACAGTACTTTTTCTTTCACGTAGATCCTAAAAGACAATTACACGTGTATTGGCATTCTCTGTGCCAGTTCACTGGAGCCTGTGATCATATATGTCAGCCTGGCCAAGAATGTAGCACGTGTATGATCTTCTATAGAAAGCTGCTTATTATAATCCCATTATGTGTGATCTACACATCAGGGCTACAAAATGATACCCTCATGAAGGCAGCTACATTGCAACAGATGGGTACATTTTTTTCTGTGAACATAACTACAGGTAAAATCTGTGTTTACACTTATGGTACAAACGCTGCCTCCCCTCAAACACTCGGCTCAGGTAAGTGTATCTGGGAGGAGAGGAACAAGTTGGGGAAAGAGGAGCAGTTCTCACACTTGCAGTCAATGTATTTTTATGGTTCTTATTTATTCAGACTTTTGGGATAAGAATCATCCCATTCTCAATGATCAGGCTGCTGTGCTGTTTCAGTACCACTATATCCAAAGGATATAGGGAATCAAAAGGAATATAAGTGGGTTTTTATTCTACTGATCACTTCTAGAAATGTATTGACAGAGGAAAATATAGCTGTTGCATAAACTCAGCAATGCCAGAAAATATAATGCTGAAAACATTTTGAATATATAAATACATGTTACAGATTAAAGTTTTCATCTCTGAGTGTTGGGGAATTTGCCCTCTCTGTACCTATGAAATACCTTCAGAATTACTTCTCAGGCAGCTGCACATGTGAGCTGCAGAGACAACAGCTGAGAGGCGTTTAACAGCTATCTTGTAATGTTCAGTGAGATACACCTGTGCACCACAGAGTTTCCTGCATGCTTCTAATACATGACTTCTAAGGTACTTCACATGAGACAGAATCCTTGAAATGTAGTTTATTTTCATTGAAGTAAATGAAATTAGTCTTATTATGGTGTTAGCATGTGAATCAGTGTTTGCTGAAGGAGGTCCACAGTAGCTGTTATAATTAACCAATTATAAAATTAGCATGTTAAAAGAAGATGAGAAAATGTGATTTAATAATTAAAGCTATCAGCTATTCAGTTAAACGTCCAACTCTGCATTTTCCCACGATAGACCTAAGTAGCTAAATAGCAGCATAATTTTTCATTCAGTATTTCTGAGTTTCTGTATTTTCTGAGCTGTATTTCAACACAACATTAATATCAGAGTACAAACTGAGATTTAATTGAACAAAAGAAATATTATGACTAGTCTAACTAGCAGCATCTGGCCTTTAAAAATCATTAGTAGCTCCTCAGTGGTGGAAATAGGAAAAATAATAACTGTTGTAATAGTTTAGAGGTGCTTTAATTTTCTTTTCAGTTTTAAAATAAATTTGAGTTTGACAGTATCTCTGAAAATTGTCTCAGTTCCCAGTGTTAAAAATATTACTGCTGCTGCTGTCGAGCAGAAATGCTTAGCAGAGTGTTTTTGCAGCAGCTAAACTGGATGGTGATTTCCCATCGTAGATTCTCAGCTGTGAAACAGGAGAGAGGTATAGAGAAAAGCTGTCCAACTTGATCTGCAGTTAATACCCAGGAACTCGTTCCTTACTGAGCAGTTGTAGGGTAGAAAATGCAGGAGTTTATATTGCTATTTTGCAAAACTTCCTACAAACACTCTCTCTCAAAACAAACAAAAAAATATTTTCCTAGGATCCAGTTTTACAAACTAGAGAATAGGGCCTGAAATACAAAAAGTACTTTCTGTCTGTAATATCCCTTAAAATCCTTGTAGAATACTACACTTTTATTATACATTAACGTTGGCATCGGCAGCTGGATACACACGGAGCAACGTGCACAAAAGGAAATTAATTAGGAGCAGGTACAGACTTCTATTTCGGGGATTTCAGTGCTAAGACATAAATTGTGCTTTAGCAACTGTACGTACGTGTTCTTATTTCCCAAGGAAAGGGGACGGGGTGTGAGTGCTCACAGCCCGTGTCCCCCGCACGAGGGGCCGGAGCGGCATTGCCTGCGCCGGGCAGGATCCCGCAAAACTGAAAGCAGGTAGAGGCACTTCCTGCAGGCAGAATTCAAGAGAGAGAAAGGGAGTTGTCCTCTGATCTCCTTCAAAAACCAATCAGGCCAGATTAGCCAGGCGTTGATTCTCCCTCCGTCCCTCCTACACCTTTTTCAGAGGCCCAATGGCCTTGTCCCTTTGGGAGATTGACTAGAGTCACATGAGCTGCACCAGGGGCAGGTAACTCAGGAGAGGGGAAGGGGGAAGGAAAAAAAAAAAAAGAGAGGCAAAAAAAAAAATCACCAAGCCTAGGCTGAGCTTCTGCCATGATGTCAGAGGGAGAGAAACCCACAGCTTGCTAATTTCACCTCCCAATCAGCCCCGGGAAGGAGAGCACCGGGAACAGGTAGAGATATGAGCTTGCTTTCTCCATGTTTTTTTTCCTCAAACACTCAACCTCCTTAAATAGCTCTTTCTTTCCTCTTGATATTGTGACTCCTCTCTCGCTCCTTTCCCCTTTGATTACTTGGAGGTTGGGGGTGAGCCTCGTGGGGTTTTTTTGTTGTTGTTTTGTTAGCGTGTCTTTCTTTTTCTTTTTTTTTTTTTTTTTTTTTTTTTTTTTTTTTTTTTTTTTTTTTTTTTTTTTTTTTTTTTTTTTTTTTTTTTTTTTTTTTTTTTTTT